GTACGTAGATATTGAGGCTACGCGCCCGGTTACCGTGCATGTGACATTGAGACTACACACCCGGTTACCGTGTACGTAGACCAGGAGGCTACGTACAAGTAGACCCCGAGGCTACGTATACGGTAACCGTGTACGTAGACACAGCGTTTTATCATTAGATTGGAAAACTATATAATCTACCTTCTCAATTTAAAATATATGATTGACGGACTTTGTGGATTTGGGGAGTGGGGGCGGGGTGGGGGTGGGGGGGAGACCAAATACAGGGGAGAAAACTCGCAATTTTGTGGGCAAATAAGGAATATCTAGATCTAAGGGAAATCATATATGCCCCTGTGGGCCAATAAGCACTCCGATATAAAATAGGGGGTGGGAGCTACCGAAAAAGGGCCATCGATAACATGTAATGTATTATTAAATTTCCAGTGCGGTGTTCGTCTCGGCGGTGTATTGTTGTTTGTGTTTATTGTTGCTACTACTGCTTTGTGGTCTGTGAATGTCAGTATGTGGTCTAGGTGTTCGCATTGTGTGACTGTATCTGTGTTGTGTACGTAAATTCTGTCGAGCCTAGCCACTCTGTATGCTTGTGCTTTGTAGTTGGTGTCCATGTTAGTTTCTTGTAATAGTAAGAAATCTGGTTTGTGTGTAGTGATGAGGTGTGTTAGTTGGGGCAGCTTACCATTCGTTCCTCTTGCATTCAGTGTTATCATTTTCAATTCAGTCGTCTTGTGGTGCTCGGTAAACATGAAAAAAAAGAAGGAAACATATTAATACATGCATGTCAATAATAGTCGGATGTGTCGCTATCCGTGGTCATGTATTGTGCTGTGTATGTCCTAGCTTGTTTCTTCTTCTTGTCTTTAACCTTATCGCTATCTGTATCCGTGTCCCTAAGTACGCTAAATCTATTCGTTTCTTCTAAATCGCTATTTCTACTTCTACTTCTGCTCTCTGTTCTGTTTGGGTGCTTGTCGGAGGGCATTACTGTATGAATTTGTGGCTGTTGATGATGTTGGTGGTGGTGGTGGTTGCGGGTATCTGCCCGTTACTCTCGGGCAGTTACTTGCCCAGTGACCGGGCACTCCACAGGAGTGACAGGCCACTGGACGGTTCGGCAGTGTTACCAGTATGTCAATGAGTTCTGTTTTCTTGTCGGTGTTGTCTAGTGTTACTTGTACGTAGTGTGGTATGTCTTCTTCTTGGAACTCTGCGAGGATTAAGTATCTGTCTGCGTTGTGGTTATTTCGTTGTGGTATAATCTTGATGGGTTTTTCTTTGTCTAGGAAAGTGTAGAGTATGTCTTCCACCACATCTGTTGGGAACGATGGGGGCACCCATGAGAGGTATAATTTCTTTTTTTCTCGTGATGGAGGTGTGCGAGTAACGAGTCCAGACTCGAGTATTCGAGTAATACATGCTGCGAGTCCAGACTGGAGTCACAAGTAAATTACTCCAGTAAGGACTCAAGTGAGGACTCGAGTCTGTAGGGGGAAAAACAGAAAAAAGGAGAAAAATTTGGTTTAAAAAAAAGTTAAGAATTGACAAAAGAAAAATTCTAAAAAGCAATTTTTTAATACTGAAGGAAAAAAAACAACAAAAACAAAAATACCCCTTGCCCCAAAGGAAAAAACCGAACCCCCCCCCAGAAAAAAGC